TCGTCGTCGTACTCGTAGTAGTAGTAGTAGTAGTAGTAGTAGTAGTAGTAATAGTAGTAGTAGTAGTAGTCGTCGTCGTCGTCGTCGTACTACTAGTAGTAGTAGTAGTAGTAGTAGTAGTAGTAGTACTAGAAGTAGCAGTAGCAGTAGCAGTAGCAGTAGCAGTAGCAGTAGCAGTAGCAGTAGCAGTAGCAGTAGCAGTAGCAGTAGCAGTAGCAGTAGCAGTAGCAGTAGCAGAGCAGTAGCAGGAGTAGTAGTAGTAGTAGTAGTAGTAGTAGTAGTAGTAGTAGTAGTACTTGTAGTAGTAGTAGTAGTAGTAGTAGTAGTAGTAGTCGTAGAAGTAGTGGTAGCAGTAGCAGTAGCAGTAGTAGTAGTAGTAGTAGTAGCAGCAGCAGCAGCAGCAGCAGCTGCAGTAGTAGTCATAGTCCTTGTAGTCGTCGTAGTTGTCGTCGTACTAGTACTTACTCAGTAGTAGTAGGCGCAAGATTTGGATTTCGTAAATTCTAGCAACCTCTGCGTTTTGAAACCAAGACCCATTCCTTACCTCCAATCCCTTGCGCCCAACATTTCAGGATATGTGCCCTTGTACACAGTCTATACTGTCTATACTTTAAACCAAACCCTCGTACCTTACGTCAAGCCAAGCCCCTGAGTTGGAGCGGACGACTGCCGAGTTCAGTGAAGCCAAGGAGATGCGTCGACAGGAGTGCGCATACATGCCGCACCGCATGCGTATAAGTTACACTGTGTGTGCATATTATGTTGTACCCATTTGGATATTCTTCATGTCATACTAGTTTATGTAACTGCACTGCGCTGTCCCTTTCTTTGTATACATCTACGTACATTTACATGTATAGATACATGTTACAATGTAACATGTATATACATGGCATGTGCGGCATACCATGCGGGAATGTATGCATGGTTGTGGTGTTCGCATGTTCAGATCATGATGTCCAGAATGTGTTCGCGCCTGTCATAGTATTTCGGCCACCGGGAACTAGGAGCCCTGATCCACGAAGCCCTAGAGCAACCCCTCTGCATCTGTAGCACCTCTTGTGCCCAAGGCCAACCACTTCCCTTAGAGAATGTAGATTAATGTAGACTTGCATTCACCTAGGCCCGCCTCCGTCAGCACATGTCGTTACAGGCATGCTTATACCAAAGACCCTTAAAGAAATGCGTTGTTGATGAGGGGCTACCTGGAGGTGAAGCATGCCCATGCAGGAGCTTTCCGATCGAGCCGTCGAGGTCTCTGCCCATGCTGCTCAAATGGAGGACGACAACACTCAAAGCACCCTTGGGCTTGGGGTTCAGGGGTCTTCGCGCTTTTTCCGTCATGCGGTCTCGGACTTTCGACAGGTTCAAAAAGGCAAGAGCACGAAGTACCATTCGACAGGGTCACGGTCACAGCGGCAGTAGGTGAAGCAGGGGCAGTTTGTGTGTGTGTGTGCGCGTCAATTAGTTGGTTCTTGGGGTGGTTGGTGTTTAAGCTACTGACTTAGTCAGCAAGTGAGTCCTTGAAGTAGTTTGTCAGTCAATCAGTTAGTTAGTCAGTCAGTCAGTCAGTCAGGCAGTCCCGCAGGCAGCTAGTCAGTCAGGCTTGTGGTTGGTCAGTTGGCTGGTTGCTTAGTGCTGAGAAAGCTTCCGCACGGAAGCCCTATGCCGTTTGCCTTCTTGCGGGTTTCGATAAGACAGAGACTGCCACTTGGTGGAGAGGCCAACAAAGTCCAACATCCGAGCCATGTCATTTCGGCAGCGGAATCTTCATGCTTTCCCTAAGCGCCAAACCCTGCGGTGATGAATCTGCAGCCTTTCGATTCTTCGATGCTGCCCAGGACCTTCGGCAACGCAACGCTGAGCTGGAGGCCGAATGCCTGAAAGCTTGAAAGGGTTCACGTCACTCACAGAAAGGCCAAAGTACTATATACATGAATGTAGGACCTTAGGGCTCGAGTTTTCTGAGATGCTCAATACGCGCCGGCTGAATTGTGCCACCGAGTTTAGCTGTGGTTTGAGACGCATTCTTACATTTTCCATACCCCATGAGACTCACACCTGGCAAGTTGCTCAGCAATGGGATGTAAAAGGCGAAGCTTCAGGCACGGTCTTAGTGGCGTGGTTAAGCGATGACTGCGACGACGACGACGACGACCACCACTACCACGTACTACCAGTAGCACTACCACCGCCACTGCCTCCAGCACCGCGACTACGACTTCCGCTGCAGTACCGCGTCTTACGTACACACGCTGCAACTCCTAGCTCCTCCATGATCTCTACTCAGTGCTTCTGCTGCTGCCGACGTTAATGACTGTGAACCGAAGTTCGCGGCAAGGCAGATCGTGCCCGACTGGCAGAGGAGAGCCAGCGACAGCGGACAGAGCTGCAGCAAGGCCTGCTTCTTCAATTCATCGTATTGTTTTGGGGTGACAGTGGGCAGTAGGTCCGTAGGTGTTATCCCATGTTCTGCAAGGACTTACTGAGACATCCAAGACAGTCGTCGTTCTGGATACAATCGTGTGGGTATGCTTTTGCCAGTATATGCATCTACATACACTGACATTGCCGGATGTTTTCCTAAATGACGATATTGCCGTACATTGAGTATGTGTGTTACACTATTGAATGGTTTTTTGGGGTTGATGATGTTGACCAGTCTAGAGACGAGAGATGCACACACCACGAATCCAAACGCCGTCCTTCCAGCTCTTCATCACGGCTTGCAGTGCGAGTCTCAAGTCCTACGTTCCGGGACCGCCCTGCCTGAAGTGCGTGTGAGTTCCGCCATCGAAGGCCGCGAAGGCTCTGCAAAGGAGATGTCGGTCAAGGATGCGGAACTGTCGACGCTCCGAGACGAGGCCATGCAACATATTTCCGACAAAGGCTTTGACTTGCAGGTCGCAGACCCTTTTGCCATGTGTCAGCCGCGATCCCTGAGCTCAGGTGAGACGCTTAGAGGCGCGTGGCGACGAGCTGGCGCGGCAGGTGGAAGCCCAGGCGAGAAATGGAAGCGCAGCCAGGGACCCGCCACGGAGATGGAGCAAGCGACATAGACGTTAGAGTTGGATAGATAGCTGTTGCTACTGCCCTACAACCGGCGAGCGAGAGAGAACGAAAGAAAGAAAAAGAGAGTGGCGATAAAAAAATAATCAAGAGATTCGTGTCAGGCCTCACACTCTGCATATCTATGGATGTGCGTATATTAAGTATGTTTTATATTTTTATATATGTATATACAAGTACATGTATATTTGTATACACTTGAACATAGGCTTATCTGTACATGCTTATGCTGCTTACATGCATATACATGCATGGCCTTGCTTTGCCTTGCCTTGCAGTACACCGCGCGACATGACGTTACAATAAGTTACATCATGTACACATACAAAGCTGAACAGAGCGTTGCATTACACTTCTTACATATGTATCTGTCCTTTACCCCGGGAGCTGAAAGCAGAGAGACTAAAGCCTACAAGCCTGCTTCACAAAAGTTGATGCTGGATGGAAGCAATTACTTCCAAGCCCTAGCAGTGCGATTTGAGTCGAGTCAACCTTGGGCCGGTTGGCTAAACTCCAGCCTCGAACCCAAACCCATTTGGTCAAAAGGCTTCCGAGATTTCGCAAGTTTCGGGACAGCTGCACGAGCGTACACAGGACGCCGTGGGCGATGGTTGGTTGGGGTGGGGTTGCTGGTTTTGCCCAAGCCTGATGTCAGCGAAGATGGGAGCAGGCTTCGTTTCTCATTGCTATTTGTGTGATGCCACTGTCGTCTTGCATACCCTGACCATATCTTCAAGATTTTGCAGCGGGGCAAGTTCAGAGTTAGATTGCATGTTCATCGCCAGCAGCATTGAAAGTAGCATGGTCAGCATGACACTGGTCGCAACAAGTCTAAGAGTCACCGGTTGATGTAGGGGCCTGAATAACTACCAATACTATTTTTGGGGGTTCCTTATTATACTTGTAATATATTGGACCCCAAGACCCTAATCTAATTATTGAGGCCCCTATGTTAGGGGTTGGGGTGCTGTCTACACAGGGCGGGACGAGCATGCTTTTGGACAGGCTTGAGGGCTGTCACAGCAGGAGCTCGCAGATACGTCCATCCAGCTCGCCGATCGGACGGCCGAGTCTCGTGCGCAAGCCGCGGGCCTCGAGGTGCGACCATCCTATGCCACCCTGGAAGAACACCGGCTGTAGACTTTACTTGGGCGAGACCTATGTCTCTGCAAATGCAAGTAGGAGTACTGTGTGGGCAGTGCGAGCGCGAGAAATGAATGTGTACATGCATGCACACGCTCGCATGTACTTGAACAGAAAGGTACATGCATGTAACGACCTAAATACCTACATACATACTCTCCTCCGTGTAAAGGTGTGTAAGTTCAAGCGTGCATATCTAGACATACCTGCGAACCTACACAATTGCCTACTTATATACGTAGTACATGAGCGCAACGACGACAAAAATGCTATGGCGATTGACTCCCATCGTTTCCATTGCTGTTTGTATTTCGTTTGGTTTGTTTGTTTGCTTGCTTGCTTGCTTGTGTGTTTGTTTGTTTGCGTGTTTGTTCGTTTGCGTGTTTTGTCGCTCTGCAATATTTATCGACGAGGTTCTGATCCATTCCCCGCCCCTCAAACTTTGAGCCAACCATGAATGGGGAGCCGGGCCATTAAACCAGCCCGTCCCAACGGAATCTTTCCTACCATCCCTTGTCCAGCACATGCTGCTAACAACCAGAGGGCTTGTAGCCGTGTAGCCATGCGAGAGATTCAAAGTTTGAGAACAGGAAAGCGGATACTGCATCCTAGACAACAAAGCTTGAGTTGAGGTCTGGATCAGTGCCAGAAATTCATTTCTAGAATTGGCTTGCAAAGCACCACGCCCTTGAGCCGGAAGCTCGCGACCCCTGACTCAAAGACGCAGAGACCGGGGACAGGATCTGCAGCAGAGGCACACCAAGCTCGAGGCCCGCCGGCCTGAGGACAGGGTTTCGTTCGGCAGCAAAGTTCTATCCGAAGGTGTGCCACAACGGACCCTGGCCTGGACAACCCGCCAAGTGAAAATGAACGCATCCAGAACCGGCTAGGACTAGGATTTAGCCGGTGATGTTGAGGCAGTGAGGAGTGTGGTCTCGCATGTGGGACTCGAAGGCTCACGCCAAGCAGCTTGTTGATCGCTGCACACAGATGTGTGGCAGATTTTCGAGTTACGAGGCCGAATGAAGTGCTGGGCCTGTGCCAGGTAAGTGTGTACACGTATAGAAAAGTCTGTACAAATGGGTGCATACATGACGAGCACGCAAATTCGCACTCACACCCACATGCACACATGCAGAGTAAATGCAATATGCATGCATCTGCACATGCCTGTTTCCACGTACATACATGGAAGCAAGCAGAGAAGTACGTATCTAATGGTTAAATCATAGATGACCGAATATAAGCGCATTTTCTAGGCACATATATATATATATATATATCCACTACATAGACAAATGAAGAACCCTGCTCCAAATCCCGAGCCCTCAGCGGTTTCTGTTTGACGGTGTGTACTCTTCTCGGTCACCCATCGGCCTCACCACCTTTCCAAATTCCTCCCAGCCCGCCTGCGAGGCCGTCCATTCTGAGCTGGTGGAGGAGAGCCAGAAGCTGCGCCTCGAGCTGGAGCAAGGCCCGGACACTAACAACCAGAGCTTTAGGTCGGTGCACGGACAGGGATTCCGCAACAGTCACGGCAGCGGAGCACAACAGGCTTCGGACGCGAGATGCTTAGTGGAAGCCCCAAACCGTCCAGGGGAGCGGGATTTGACTTAAGTTACGACTTAAGTGTGGACTCCAGGGTTCAATGTAGGTGTCTGAATGATTCGGAAGAGGGCTACAATGGCAATATACTGGGGCGATGAGGGACGGTAAAGGGGGGCTTGATATAGTGCAGGACGGGAGAGGACCAACGAAGAGCTGGCTGCAAAAGATGCGCAGATTGCCTTCCTGCGGACAGAGGCCGCTTGGGGTTCCTGATAAGGTTCATGTCAACGTTACTAATAAAGGGTTCTTGTATGGGTTACAGAAGTTTTGGAACTTTAAGAGGTCTGCAGGCGAACGAGCAGGCAGAGGTTCAATTTCCCAAGCGCTATCCGAGTTTTTGCCAAGGATAGCAGTTCGAGTAATGATCGAGGTTTTAAGTTCCAGACCTCAAGCTCGGATGGCTAAGGGTTCGAGCTTGCGTTCGGATCTTTGGTGGCTTGGTGAGTATGGGCGGAAGCTGCTTTCATTTCATGACCTGCTCAAAGTTGTGTCTTGTGTCTCAGCTTCCCGAAGCCGCAATCCTGGGTCCTTGGAACATGACCTCGTCGAGCTCACCCGCTCAGGCGCTGTCAGATTGTGAGCTCTGAAGTCAGAGGGTTCCGGGTTCAGGGTTTCCAGCGTGTAGATTTCAGGGGCCGAGAGCCCCGTTCTCATGACCTTTGAACCCACCAGAGCACGGCTTTGGCACCTGAAAGCCCCAAGCCCGACAGCCCCAAAGCCCAGAAGCTCAAAACTCCAGTTCCAACAGAGGCCAGCCAGAGCCAAGAGTCTGCGCAAGCCCAGCTTGGCGATCAGGAAAGGCAGCTCCAGGCAAGAAGCATTGGGGAGTTGATGGCTCTTGCTTCCAAAAGCTGCTTCCTTAAGTGTGCGAATGCACCCCCGTGCACCCGACCTCCTTAGTGGCACTTGTTTCAGGCGGCACGTGAGCAAGCAGAAGCCGACCGAGCCATACTGCAAAATGAGAAGTCGATGCTCCAGGCGGCGACGGGCCAATGAAGTCCTCAGCACATCGCAGTGAAATGGGGGTTTTAAGGAGCTCTGGTCGATCTTTGACCAGGATAATTGGGCGACAACCGGGTTCGGAGTGCGGGCACTCAAGACCTGATACCCTCTTGCAGTCACATTGTGCTAAAGTAATGAGATAGTACGGATAGTAATGAGTAAGCAGCCAGCTGCTCTTTGTCGCTTCTTATTCTTACACCTCGTGTTCACTACGGTTTATTTGGTTATTGGTTTACCAAGTCCATGTTGCCTACGATACCGCGTCGATGAGGATACCAATCCCATGTGAATCAATCGCTGCTTCTGCCATAATGGCGAGCGCCACCGACTGCAACATGCTGCCGAAGTTACGCGCAGCTACCAGGGGCTGCCTGACGTCGCTTGCACCATACAAATTTCTCATCCTGCAGCCAAGAGCCAAAACTCTAAAGCCCTCAGGCCTAACCCCAAAATTGCTAAACTGAGCCCTAAACTCTTCCAAGCTCGGCATCCAGTCTAAACCCTAGTCATGTCACCTTGGGATTGCTTCGTAACCCCAAGGCGACAACCGGCCCCCCTTTTCCAGGAGGCGCGCGACCGAGCAGAGGCAGCTGGAGCCGCACTTCAAAGGGAGAAGTCGATGCTCCAGGCCTCGCTTGTTCTCTGCTTCCATCGCTCTGAGTGCCGCCTCTGGTGGCATCCCTGAACTTCCTGACTTGATCCGGGCCCTTCCTGTCCTCGCTTTTACGCTACCTTGACCTTGATCGTTTCCTGTCGCTGTTTAAAAGACTGAGTATGGTGATGCATGGAGAGTGAGAGTTGAAACCGTGCCAGGAGCTGCTGGACCAGAAAACGGCCTCATCGGCTGCCGACGCGGAGAGTTCCCTGGCTTCAAGCACACTCAAGCATTACGTCTGCTTTGGCAGTCAGAATTCTCGAGTGCTTTGGAGTGGGGCTTGAGCTGTGTAAATGGCCACGGCTCAAGAGCTTTTTCAGGCTCTCAGCGTAGAAAGCATCGAGACCCACCAGATCCCGAAATATCCCGAACCTGATGCCCTCAACCTCGCAACCCACTGTGCCTCCGGCCGCAGTCTTCCTGCAGAGAAGGCAGAGAGACCTGAGAAAGGGAGGCGAGCAAGGCCAAGTACAACCTCCAAGACCCGCAGCAATTGGCCGCGTTCTTGAAATATGCCGACATCCGTCTCGTTCGGCTGAAGTACTTGTACTTGTTCCAGCTGCGGAACTCTAAGAGGCTTCTGCCTCGCCGCCAGGAAGCTGAAGAGTGGGGTCTGGTGAGCCACGA